TGGAATCGTATATACTATATATGTTTGTTGCCTAAATTTTTAGGCTCATTGTATTAGCATATTTAGGGATGGCAACGGGGGGATTCCATTCCCCATCCTCATCCCCGATGCATTTTTCATTCCCCATTCCCGCTCCCATCCCCGCTTAAAATTTTGTCAGAATTTCCATACCCGCCCCCGCCCCCGACACCTTATCCCCGTCCCCGCCCCGCCCCACCCCCGGCCCCGGCCTCATAATTTTTTTTTATTAAAAAAAACATATTTTTTCTTATTTTCATATATATATAATAAATCTAATTTAGTAATAAATTATTATATGTGAGGGTATATTAGTAACTTTACATCTAATCGGGGCGGGGCGGGTTTACCCCATCCCCGCCCCGGCGGAGATTAATAAATTGCCCCCATCTCCATCTCCATCCCCGTTTAGCTAAAAGGATCCCCTCCCCGCTATAAACTGGGCGGGGCCCCGGCGGGGATGGACAATTTGCCATCCCTAAGCATATTGTGTCATATATCATTAGAATGACCGAAAGGATGAAGTTGAATGTACTGGTGATATCTGAATATAGAGAGAGATATAGGGGCTCATTTTGATTAATTTAACTCCTATATTTATTCATTTATTTCGAACAAATTATATTGATATGTATAGAAATTACAAGGGCCCGAGGAGGGCCAATCTAGCCCAACTACTGGCTAGGAGAAGCAGGCTTAACAAGTAGGAGCCCAGCAAGATTACATCAAATGCGATACTGAAGCATAGCCTCTGCTGCTCTAGTCGTAGATTTAAGATGGAAAAAATACGGAATTGTACTAAGAATTATGTACAAAATAATATGCGAATATCCTCTTGTGCCGAGGGAATTGCACGTATAGAGATTCGAAAAAGAATCTTAGGGAATGTATGTAGAATTGAGAGTGTAGGAGTAATCTAGGGAATCTATGTAGAATACAATAGAAAATTTGGTTTGGAGGGTTGGCGCCAATTTAGTTAGTTACCATGCTGCTCTATGGTGTCAATACAAAGCGTTTTCTACTAGGGAACATTCTGTGGGGCCTAAAATGTGGATTGTTTGGGAAAGATTTAGAATACCTCGTTAGAAATGAGCGGGTTCCTGGTTTGTCCAAGGCCAGCTCTTTTGAGTGTGATTTCAGTTCTGGATAACTATAAATTATAACCCACCCATCTTGGTTTTAGTGTGTGATTTCAGTGGAACAAAGCCTCCACTACAGTACTCATTCATGTGGACACTGGCGTATTCTCATGCTCTGATAATTTCTCTTCATATTTATTTTCTTTATATAGGTTAATTATTGTGAATTCATAAAACCTGATCTTTTGCAGTTTTAATTGATTCCAATTTAAACTTTTCTTATACTATGTTTGGCGGCACCAGTTTTCTCAAATTTAAGTGTATTCCTAGACCTAACATTAAATATTAATTAGTATTACATAACAACGCAAAGTGTATTCACCTTATGAAACTGTTCTTTATGCTTGAACAAATTGCAATATATGGCCAGCATTCATTGTATGCCATTAAATTCCAAAGAAAAGGAATTTTAAAAAACATTACCTACATTTCCTCTTTTACAACTAAGGACAAATTTTATATTAACAAAGTTTTATTAAAGATATTAATTTTTTTTTTAAGAAGATAACAAAATTAATTCATCAACTTTTGATGTATCCCTCTAAATTCTTTCCTTCCTTTTCTTTCCTTTCAAAATTTTAAACCAAATAGTGAAAAAAATAAAATAAAAATCCCTACATTTTCTTAATTTTCTTTTCCTTTAATTTTTTCAACCAAACTGGGCCTTGGGCCTTAGTGCAGAGTATTGAAAGGAATTGACTGTATATATGTAAGAGCTCAAGTAAAAGAATACACATGCGTTGTTATACAAAATTGGAGTTAAATTCTAGAGATTTCAGTACAATAAAATAAAACTATACAATTCAAAATAATTAACATTCATCTAAACTATATTAGTATAAAATTAAACTAACTTACAAATGTAAGAATATCAAAAAAAACCTTCAAAACATTCGGGAATATATGAATTTGAAAATTTGACACTTGGTTCCTTAGTAACTACATTGTTTTAAACTATCATGCACAATCTTCTAAAAATTCATCAACATAAAGGCCATTTTCGAAGAGAATAACCTTTCCTTAGACGGCACACCGAAATTTAAAGGATATTTTGCCTTAAAAGTCAACCACAGTGCATGCTTGAACCCTTAGAAATGCCGTCTTCATTCAACTTTTAATTTGTTGACAGAAATTACTTAGCATTAATATTTTAATAGCTAATATAAATTAAGTTATGTTATGTTTGAGAATACTAAATGGACGGTTTAGACCAATCATAATTTATATTTATAGTTGCGATCATGGTGTAATGGATTCGGACAAATATCGATATAAATTGATCGAACCAACTGGTTCACGGGGGTGTCTAAGAGTATTGAACTCTTGAAAAAGGGTTATAAACTGGTCGATACATAATGTATCGACCCATACGGTGAATGATGATTTAAATTTAGAATCGGAAGAATTTTAGTTCAAAACTTGTATTAAATTTTATCTCATTCCAAATTCAAAGTACTAATTCGATACTCCGAATCACAATATTAAATTTATTGAAAAATTTCACCATTTTAGTTTGGAATTATGTCCTTTGTGGAATGAGTACCTTGAATTTTTTTTTACATGGTAAGAAGGGTTAGAAGTTAGATTAGTAAATACAGATAGTCGAAATCTGGTAATCCAATATTCATTGGACTATTGCAATTTATTTACAATGAAGAATTCATTTTGTGTCATTTTTTTGTTAAAAAGAAGGATAATTTACACAAACCTCTCTTATGATTTGCCATAATTACAGGGACCTCTCTCTGGTTTGGAAATTTACTCGAACCTCTCTTAAGTTAAGAATGAAAATATCCTACACAGACTGACGTCACGTACAAATTTTATTAAAATTTTCATAATATCCTTGTCCTTGTATAATAACATATTATAGATAAAAGATATATATATATATATATATATAAATTATATATATACACACGCGCACACACACACGAAACCCAATTCATGAACCTGGTCATTAAAAATAACCCAGGACCAGAGAAAGCTTTTAGCGACGAGCTTCGGTGAAGGCAATGATAGAATTCTCGGGAAAGCTTCTGATCGGCAAGCAAATATCAGAAACCAGAAATTTCGACGGTGAAGACAGGGTGGCTGTGATGAGGACGGCAGCCAGAGAGAAGTTTGGGTCCCTTTAATTCTGAGCGATTTCGGCAAAAGGAATGGTGTTTGCGAACAATTGGGTTTGTGGGTATGACATTTGCGATTGGGTTTGATCTGTGTGATTTGGTTTTTATTTTGGAAATCAAAATTGAGAGTAAAAATATTAATAATTATTCAAGATTTAATCAAAGAAGATTTTGTACCATTTTCAAACGGTTTAAAATATTGAAATTCTGTCTCTCTCTTTAATTTCCGGAATTCCAACCTACCGTTTGTTTACTCAGAATATTTAGTTTTACTTATAATTAGTACCAAGAATTTCAATTTTCTTCTCTTTTCTAATAGTTTCTCAGAAACCAAATATATATAAGTATTAAGAGGTATACAGAGAGAGATAAAGTATCGGTTCCAAAGCGACAACTGAGGTTGCACGAATTCTGGACGAAAACCCACGAGAGGAGAATTGGAGAGAGGGTTTATGCCGAGAACTGTGAGAAAGAGAGGGGTATTTAGGGAAAAGGTCGTGGCAAAGATGGTGAAGCGAAGACGAAGAAGCAATCGCCATATTTGTATAATTTTACTTTGATGATGATTATGATGATGAAGAATTGGGGTTTCTATTTGTCAACCCCTCTTCTTTCTTTGTACTTCTTGCGGATATACATATACAAACACACATATATAAGCATTTTTGACAAGGAGATGAAAAGGAAAGAAAATATTTATCAAGGTATTTTACTCTCAATTTTGATTTCAAAATAGCATGGGCGAATTTATTGTATATCAAGGAAGAAGTGCAGAGATGTTGGTGGCGGTGGCCGCGGTGGCGCCCATGGTGGTTGGTGGTGGTGGCCCCAAATAGTTTAAGATTGATTTTTTTTTTTTAATGTATACGGGTATTTCAGTAATTTATTATAAAAAATTAAAGAAATTTTAATAAATTAATATATTTGACTGTTTATCACGTATAAGAAAGATTCGTGTATAACAATTTCTTTATTAAAGAAAGTCTGAGTAAATTCTCAAATCATGGAAGAGGTAAACTATAAGAAAAATTGTTAAAAACTTAAAATGGCAGACAAAGGAACCGACCACACGAGTCGACCACGTGAAATGACAGTTAAAAAAGGTTTGGTTCCATGTTCGTGCATGTCACATGAATGGCTATTGATGATTATAATAATAAAGTTCAGCATCTCCACAATTTTAAATCACTTCCATATAAAAAGGGAAAACAATAGGAAGCAGTTTCATTTCTGCTTCAAAAAAAAAAAAAAAAAAAAAGAAGAGAAAATAGGAAGCAGATTCCTCGAGAGATCTACGGTTCCATTCATTGATCACTATTTTCTATTTATGACAATTTTTGGTATAGTTTTGTAAAGTGCAAAATTTTATTTGAAATAATATGTTATATAACCTCTTCTCTTTCAAATGTTTCCACGGAATTTATGAATTCTTACCTAACTCGAAAAAAAAACATTTGGGAATATATATTTAAATTTCAGGGTGACTATTTCGTTTAATGTGCAAGAATCACACCTTTATGATAAATCATACACATATTATTGTAATGGAATTTCTATCCTAATTTGGATTATTTTGCTTGCCAAAATTGTTTTAAATGAATTTTTATTGCTCTGATATTTCAATTTATTTTTCTAATAATAAAAAAGGAAAAAAGAAAAGAAATAAATAATTTCCAATAGGCAAACAACAAGGTCAATGGAGAGGACTTGCGTGTAGAAGAAGAAGAATTGATATATATCATAGAGGAACATTGAGCCTCCATTTTGAATTCTAATTACATGTACTCTTGATGTGTCCAGATTGAAATGCAGATTGATTTAATAAAATCAACATTTCACAACATCTGATCGATCATGACCACATATACACACACCACACACACACACACAACAAATCACGACCCATTCAATCCACATGTCACAAAAACACTTACAATCTCAATCCAACTTTAATTATTCAAAACAGAGTTGAAAAAACAGGGACAAAAACTTCAAACCTTATACATACAAGAAGCAATAAATTCTTCTTCTTCTTCTTCATTACACACAACTTTTTGCGTCTTTCCAGCCTCTGCTGCGGCCATGGAAGGCGAAGAACACGGCGAGGAGTGCCCGGAATTAGCAGCCATCAAGGCCAGACAGCCTTCGCTCCACGACCGTCTGATCGGATACTTTACAATATTTGCAAGCCGTGATCCATGTGAGCAATGTCCGCGAGATTTATGCAGCGCGCAGCTGCAGTTCCGGTGGTACGGCCTCCTCTGGATCCCCATATCGGACCCCGAAAGGCAGCCTTCGAATCCACCCCGGAAAAGTCCGTCACCGGCTGCAGCTCCGGTGGCCATCCTTTGCTAGTCAATGGTGGTAATGTGGTGTGATATATAAGAGAGAGACTATGTATGTATAGACAGTTTTATATATAGACAAAGTGACATGCAGAACAAGGTTGGTTGTCTAATTGGGGCAATACGCGGCAGTTGGTTTCTTGGACCCCTCAGCAATGTTTTGCAAGTATTTGTACTTAGCCCTTGCCTTGTAGGGCTCCTAGACCTAGTCTATGGTGTGGGACCTTTCTTTTTTATTTATTTTATTTTTTATTTTCCTTTCCTAAAGGATAGAGATTAGAAATTTAGAGAGCAAACAAAGTAGGACAGAAAAAAAGAAACATTTGACTGGAGTTGCAAACAAGACACTAATGGATTGTCTAAAACGCTAATTAGAACACCTTTTGTCTACGAGTGTACGTCTTGAATGGTAGTTATAATTTTGGATTAGTAAAGATGTAATTTTAATATTCTATTCTCAAACACGATGGTTCTGTAGTTTTAATTATATTTTCAAATACATGGATTAGACTTGGGTTTTGTTTTGGAAATGAAATTTTAACGGTTGTGATGTTAATGATATTGGATTGTTCAAGCTTGTTATAGTCTCTATGTCATCACTAGACTAATTATTAATTACTCAAACTAATTGAGTAGAGCTTGATATTGGTGCATTTTTCATATTTGAAATGACTCATTTTTTTGGTGTGTAATTATATCTCTCAAGTAAGCAAGAAAATGTGGGAGTCTCAAGAAATAGAAAGTGAAGAACTAGAGAAATATAGGATGAGAGAAGTATATGATTAGATATAAGCCCCAAGTTATTAATTACAGTCTAATAACATGGAATAATACGTGTGCTATAAATTTAAACCATTTAGATTCGATTTGTATATAGCATAAAAACTTTAATGTTTGAATGATACGTGTGTTTTTTGAGTTATTACACATATTTGAAATACACCTTACAATCAGAAGTTAAAATAACCAATGATTGAAATGGTTCGTTTCCAAATTATAACTGATGGCTAAAATGGTCCCGTTAAAAATAATTAAATAAATAAAATTGTGAAAACCAATATAACCCCTTTTAGAACTTAAAAAAAAAAAATAAAAGAAAAAATAAAAGGTTTTCTTTATTAAAAGAATATGTTTTTATCTCTCCATATTTGTTTTAGTGCTCTTCTTTCTTTCTTATTTTCAATCCGATCAAGTCCTCTTGGTTTAAAGGCCTGAAATGAAATGGAATAAGTGCTATAATTAAATGGGATAATTTTCCTTTGTAGGAAACTTCCGTCAACAATTTATTGGTTACTTTTGTACCAATTGTTTGAAACTTGAATAAAACCTTCTTTATGAAGCTCAAGTTGGGATGGCATCAATGATTAATAGGATTTCGTTTGGAAAAAGAAGTGGTGAAACTTGATTGTCTACAAAATATGGAGGGATATAAAATTTGGAAACGCAATGATGCTTGAAATTCAGTGGCTAAATAGCCAAATTTCTTACCTACTGCACCTGAAATGGTTTGTTTGATTATAATAACAAGTATCACTCTCTTATAAGGCTAACCCATTGGGAGAGTGGCTCTTCCCTTATGTAAATAATTATAGAACTCTTTAAACTGGTCGATAATCTTCTTCTCGAATATAAGGTATTGGGTGTACCCGACACACTGTGCACCTTCATTTGTGGGGAGAATGGCAAGTGGTACACCGTGCACCCAATATCTATTCCTTTTCAAGAGAGACTTTCCAGTGAATAGAGTGCCACCTACCTTCTCATCAACTATGGAATATAAATAGTTGTAAGTGTTGGTACACCATGCACCCAATATCTATTCTTTCTCTAGAGAGACTCTCCAGTAAATAGAGTGTCACTTACCTTCTCATCGACTAAGGAATATAAATTGTGGGACTCGAAATAACCGTAAGTGTCAGTACACCGTACACCTAATGTCTATTCCTTCTCAAGAGAGACCCTAGTAAATAGAGTGCCACCTACTTTCTCATTGATTAAGGAATATAAATTGTGAGACTCAAAATAGAGTGTCACCTGCCTTCCCGAATAAATTGTGGAACTCACTGACTTCCCAACAATTTTTACATCTGTCACCAAAAAAAACCCCACACATTCCATGTATGCTTGGGACTCTTAACCTAAATTTTGAGATGAAAAAAAAAAAAAAGCCCCTATAACTTGAGAGTTATAAGAGAGGATAGCAGCGAGGACAACAACATTAGATATTCAAAGCCCACTTCAATATAATGACACCCCACCCCACACACGTACAAAACCATTTCCAAGCTGATATTCACTGGAGGTCGTAGCCCAAACCAAGTATGTTAGGAAATATTAGAATAGTTGGGCCCCATTAAGCCTAAACTAGTGAAAGTTACTGGGCCAAACCCAATCCATGAACGTTTGGTTAGAGGAAAGCCCGGATAGGATAAACTGTGTGTATTTCAGATGGGAATTTAAAAAATTTGAGACAACCGGGTGGGATTCAAACCACCTCTCTGAGACATCACCAGACAGTCGTGACTCGCAGAGTGTAAATTGAATCCCAATTACGTTTTGGTCCGGTCACAATTTGGGTGATTTAAGTCTTTTTGGTATTTTGTTTTTCTTAGCAAAAATTTCACAACCCAATGTCAGGATAAATTATATATATATATTTAAGAGATAAATCACAAAAATTATAATATATTTGCAAACGAGGCGACTCATTTTCATACCATTTTATAAACCAAGAATAACATATAGGATTGACCCCAAAAAAATAAAATAAAATAAATAAATAGGATAGTATAATAGAATGAGAAAAATAATGGAATAAAAGAATATTCTTGAAAAGCTTAATGAAGTGAGAAACGTAATAGAATAGTAAAAGAATATCCTTTGGAAAGCTCAAGGAAAGTGGGGGTTTTGTCAGCGGATGGCTCTTACTTGTACAAATTAATCTCTTTTTTAAGTTGTGCAAATAGTAAGAGGTTAAGCCACATAAAGCTGGAGTGCGAAACAAATTTGAGAGAGCAGCAGAATTAAGTTATAAATAGTGAAAATTAGAGTCAGAGCGCATACGGAGTGTAAGAACAGGAACGATTAAAAAGAACGGCGTGACTTAGATAAAAAGTAGACGATTAGTACTCTTACTTTATATTCCTAAATTCAAACACTTTGACAAAATTCAAAAGAATTATACTACTCTTATGAGCATTAATGCACCCTAGGCATAACCCAAAAAAGCCTTTTTTTTTTTTTTTTAAGTCCTCCCTCTCAGCTTGAAAAGACAAAGGGAAAAAACCCTAAAAATACCATCACAAACATCAGCAATAAATATCAATAGATATTAATACAAACAAATAAAAACAATCAGTAATCTTAATATCAATTTTTAAACGATCAAACAACAACAACAATATAGGGAAACTTGACAAGTTGCTTTGAACCCTTTAAGATAATGAAAATTTTGAGCTCAAATATAACTCAAAACAAAAAAAATGTCCAAATGTTACTAATATTTCAACATTTTATTAGCCAATAGTTGAAAAAAGAAAAAACAAATATTAAATTGACAAAGAGATGTCACAACTTCACTTTTTTCTCTATTTCAACTGATCTTGAATTTCTAATAATAAAAAAGACAAAACTATCCTTCAAAAGTGAAGTGCAAGGGTGTTTTTCGTTTTCCTACTAATAATGAAGTTTAGATATGTTTTTTTATTGGTAATTATTTCATTTTATTTTTTATAATAAATTCTGAAATTCAAGTAAAAAAATAAAAAACAAATAAAAGTAAATTGTGAATATCATTCTCCTTTCATAAATTATTAAGCTCCAGTCTAGTTGGAAAGAAATAGAAGGAAAAGAAAGAAGAAAAAAAAGAAAATGGATGACTTTTGTGTTTGGAATAAAATTTTAAAAGGAAAAGAAAGGAAATAGAATAATTTGAAGAGATACCTTACAAACTTGATTAGTTGGTTTTGTAATGGAAGGAAGGAATGAAAAGACTAGCATTTTAATGAAATTTTTTAAAATTTAAATTTATCCTTATTTTTAAAAATACAAAATTTATATATCTAAAAAAGTATCATACTAAATTTATGAAAATAATTTTCTTTATTAATCAACAATTGGTTAACACTATCCTCTTATTTATTTTATTTTATTTTTCTCTTGTACCTAATGTTAAATTTTTTTTTTTCATTTAATTTTCAGTGTACCAAATATGGTCATTTAAAGGTGACTATTTCTATTTATCCCCATTTTCCATTCCGTCTATTCAAAAGTCCAAACACACCATCTTTATTGTTTTGATAAATCGAAGTCCAAACACGCCATTGCAGCTCTCGGTGCCCCTCTCAGGGTCTCAGGCACAACCTCAATCTATACATTGAAGCTGGGTTGACCACACCAGCCATGGCCGGAGGTAACAAGAAACGGTTCACGAAAACCAGGAGCCGAAGACCACCGGGCTATGCATCCGGAGCCCTCTTCGTCGACGGCGGTCTTTTATCCGATTGGCAATTGGAAACTCCTCCCAAAGGTATGAAAATGATCTCTTTATTAAGGCTATCGATTATACGAGAATTTTCCATTCGAATTTCCGATTGTTTATTTTTCAGTTTTTGTTGGATTTCATTTGCAGCAAGAAACGCTAGAACTGGGAGTGGGAATTCAAAGTCTGCGTCGAGATCTGGAAATTCTGATCGATCGAAAGCTTTTGTTTTCAAAAGCGAGTCTCGACAAGCTAAAGGAAATGCTATTCGTTACGCGTACCCTAGTGTTGATTCTCGGGTATGTGTTCATTTAGTCAAAAGTTGATTTTTTTTTTTGGGGTCTTTATATATAGATTTTTTATAGTGGTTATCATGAAAGTTGAGCTCGGATTAGGACTAGAGGAGCTGTATTGATTGTTGGTTCGATTGATTTAGATGAAATTTGGGGCTTTTGAATGGAATGATTGTACTTTAGGATTAGATTTTGGTTTTTGAGGTGAAAGAGGTTTTCATTGATTTTTGTAGTGGTCTGAATAGAAGTAGAGTCATACTGTATGATCAAATTAGCTGTTCTGATTGAAATGGTTCAGTTGATCTCGATTGGTTTGGAAATCTAGTAGAAGTAGAGTGAATTCAAAGTTTAAATGATTTTGATTTTGGGATCAAGCTATTTCATGTGTCTTTTTTGAGAGTTTCTCTCATCTCATGCTGTAGTCATTTGACTGGAAGTAGCTATATTAGAAGATCAAACTGGCAATTTTGATAAATGAATTCTGGTCTTTTGGATAAATTTGAGAACTTGTTATAATGGTTATGTTCAGAGTTGTACTTAACTTGATTTTCTGTTCGAAGTTCTTTTCTCTGTTTTTTAAGATGATTTCTGTAAACACGGTTTTTGCAAAATTTAAGAGCAAATCACTTTTGGGTTTGATTCATTTGCATAAATTTGACTATTTCTGAAGGGTTTTGTTCTAGAACAACAATTATTTATTTATTTTTGATTTAGAGTTGAAAGGATTTTGGATTGCTATTATGGATATCAAGTTTCTGTTTACGGAAAAAAATATTCTCTATCTTTTATTTTTTTTATATATATTCTGCTTCACTATATGATAAAAATAGGTGTTTATTTTGATATTTTAGTGGTTCATAGAGGAGGTTCTTGTCATTTTCAGAATGGATCAATGAACAAGCTATTCTAAATTTCTTATTGGAAAGTTTCACTTATTTAAATTGATTTGACATTTTTCAGGAAGGTACTAATCCAAATGCTGGCAACAATAGAGAGAACAATTTGGATGAGTCTCACCCTATTGTCTTGGTTGATTCCAAGGAGTCACAAATTGTTGCTTATGTAGACCAAGCGCCATCTATGGAACCCCAAAATGTGGAGTTCACATATGATTATACTACAGATATTACATTGGATGATAACTCTCATAGGGGATTGGGGTTTTGTGGTGACGTAGAAGCAACCCCAGGGGGCAATGGATCCTCATCGAAAAAGGAAGAGAAAGAAGGTTCTTGTTTTGAGTCATCCTTTGAAGAGGAAATGGATGCTGATGTTAGTTTTATCCCAGAGGTAAGTACTAAAATGGCTGATGACTTTTCGGATAAGACATCATCACCAGAGAAAAATTCGGGGTTTTTGTCCATTGGAGGTATGAAATTATATACCCAAGATATTTCAGATGATGACGATGAGGATGACAGCGAATCATTGCTTGACGAGGAAAGCTTGGAGTCTTCTGGGCCAGGAGATTCAACTGGATCATGTGATAGTGATGGGTCTGAGGACACATCTGAGAGTGATTCAGATATTGATGAAGAGGTAGCGCAAGATTACTTTGAAGGGATTGGTGGGAGTGACAAAATTGTAGATGTTGAGCAGTTGTTGGAACAGGTTCTTGATGTCTCGGGTGATGATGAAATTTCTGGTGCTAGCTTTGATGAGACTACGAAGAAGTTGGGTGGGATTGCTCTTCAGGATGCATCTAGGGAATATGGTATGCATAAACCACGATCTGTAAGGAAATACCCTGTAGAGGTTAGCAGAACTAGAGCCTCTACACATGCTTGTTCATCTGCTTTGGATGATATTATGCTTTTAAAGGATACAAGAAGAGTTCCTGGAAGAAAGAAGCATGCTGCTCGATTTCCTCAGTCATGGCCTTCCGAGGCTCAAAGGAGTAAAAGTTTCCAGAAATTTCCAGGTAAAGGATTTATATACACGTGACTTTCTGGTGTTTTATTTGTGTTTCTGTATCGAGGATCTAACATCAATCTCTTTAAGTGTTGAATTATAAATTTGAGCAAAGGAATATATTCTATCTGATCTAATATTATTACCTATTGAAAATTTTGTCTTGAAATTTTCAGTTGTTGAATTTTTAAAATAGAGGGGGTGAACATTGCCATCCAATTCTTTAAGTTTTTCTGTTTTGCATTTGGTTTCATAGGCTTAATTTCAAACTTATTTGTTTTTTATTTCCAAGATATGTTGAATAGGTGGTTCAGATCATCTTTCCTTTCTGTGTGGTAAGTCAAAATTATCTTTGGGTCATAATTTGTCCTTGAGCGAAATAAGTATGTGAGACATAACTTGTCCTTGAGCCAAATAAATAATTGCTAGACTTATACACTGGCAGAGGTAGGCTTGACTGTGCTGTGTATACCTCTCTGATCTATATTTTGCTCTCTCTCTCTCTCTCTACAAATATGATATATGTGTTTTAATCTTGTCAATAAACTCAATTTGTGTAAATAAAATACCAATTTTGAAAATGACATAGGCGCTAATTAATATGGTAGAAGTTTCACAATCTAAGCTTGTTTATACAGATCCATGTTGTACTTTCTAATAAATTAACTACCTGCCTTCAACTATTCTGTATATACTTTTAGTGTATTATTTCAGGTGAAAAAAAGAAACATCGCAAGGAGAAGATTGCTTTGAAGCGTCGGGAGAGAATGATTCACTGTGGCGTTGTTCTTGAGCAAATAAATTTGGTAAAAAATATTGATGTTTCATATTTGGCAGATGAAATGACATCCCTGTTCCTTTATATTTTCATTTCCAACAAAAAATGTGAAATGATAATTGATTTCACTTTATTCTTAGTAGCATAACTAACGTAATTACATAGTTTCATTTAAAAACTTTGATTAGTTTTGGGTTTCCTTTGTTGTTTACAAGTTTATCACTCTTGTAGATGTCAGTTTGATAGTCCTATTATGCGATGGTAGTCCTTTCCCAAAACTTGCTTCCTGCTCTAGACCAATCTGTACTTTAGGAGCTGATCTCTCTTTGGACATTCTTCTGATCTATTCAAAAGTTGAGTTCTGTGAACAAAAGTTTCTGAATCATGAAGTTCCATGAATTGGAATAGGAGGGTGGACACCAACATTGCTTAGTAATGGTATTATGCCAGTTGAATTAATGCATGTATTTATATGAATACTCACCCAAGAAAATTATGTATAGGTGCAATGAACTTGAGATTATTTTTAGTTCGACATTGCAGCTCTTCTGCCCTTGCTTCACATTTTTGCCATTTTGGTTTTAGACCATTTGCATGCTTGGACTATCTCACATGTGAACGGTTATCTTTGGACCATGCTGTACAAAAACGCTGATAGGATGGTTTGTTTAATGAATCTGCTTATTTGTTCATTGAATTTAGATATATGTGGGACCTAGAGCATGCAAAACCTTAAAATTTGGAATGTTGCATCTGATTATAATTGTAATATTTTAATTGTCGTGGAGAACATAGATATGAAGAAATTGGTCCATATACAAGTTGCTCATTTATAGCTTTATCAACTATGGACTTGTATTGTCTTCTGATTTATGACAACTTTCCGTCTTGGCTATTGTAACTTGTTCTTTTAGGCTGCATCTTTAACATTTTTTTGTTTAATTTCTGAATTTTTATATATATATTTTTCACGCTTCTCAATAAGTTTGTAAATTAGAATCTTTTTACTAAGATATTGAATTTTTTACAGTTAATATTAAGCTGTCAAATTCGTTCAATTCAGTGAATTATCCAGCATAACTAGCATCGTTGTGGTTTTGAATTGTAGAAATTACAGCAGATGGTCTTAGATGGAGTAGATATGCTCTCATTTCAACCAATGCATTCCAGGGATTGTTCCCAGGTACTGGATTTGTTTTCATCTCAGAATGCTTTAGAGTTTAGACCTATTTCATATTTAAGATTCGTATGCTCATATTAACTGGTTCTATATACATTTATAGGTACGACGATTGGCTGCAATTTATCGCCTCCGGAGTGGTTGTCAAGGTTCTGGCAAGAAAGGGTAAAGAAATAATGGCTTTTTGGTATTGTGATTTGTGGGTTCTATATTACAGTTCTTGCAGTTTGTTAATACCCCATCTATTTATTCTAATTCCAAGTAAGTTGTTAGTAATTTGGTATCTTTTCTGATAATGATACTATCCGATTCAATTTTGTGTTATTGATAGCCTTCGTGCTTGTGATAATTCAAACATATGCTGAATTCATGTACTATAACTTTTTTCATGCTCTCATGTAAAATTTCGGTAGTATGGGTAATGTGCCTTCTTATTGTCCTTATATGATTTCAAAAATTGTAGCTAGATCCTACTGCTTACTAGAGGCTATACTATCATGTCCACCGCTTGAAACTATACCAATCTTTTCTCTTTTCTTTTCTTTTCTTTTTTGGGTAAGTCTTTTCTCTTTTCTTTTCTTAACTACAATCACTACTGAAGTTGTTCACTATAAGACTGGAATAGTTTAATTGCTGTATATATATATATATATGTATAGTTCGTTTTGTCAAACTATCCTATTCTCTGCATTGCCTTCTGTATTTGATTTTATTAATTTCTACTCATTGAGTTGGATTCCTGGAGTTAGAACATATTTGGAGCAGTAAATGAGTGATTAAGCATTGAGCAGAGGGATTAATCCAAATGGAAGGATCTATCAAGGCAAATAGAAAAATATGGGTAATCTTCCTGAAGAATGAACCACATTCAAGTAAACTGGGATAGGTATACTGAGTGGAGCCCAAAAATCTTCATTGAAGGGAATTCTAATTATAAGAAACCTGTTAAGATCCTTTGAAATATAATGGACAAGCTTGGGGGCTGTAGTTGTCATGCTTCAGTAAAAGGTTTTTCACATTCTTTGTTATAGGGGTTTGTAACTGTGACATTGCTGCATGCTTTCATTGCCTGTTGAACTGTTTTGATCTCACGTCTTTCAGTTCTTCCATTAATCTCCATCAGCATGTTTGATGTACGCTAATTTTATCTTGACTGAAAAATGGAAATGTAGATCTTTTCACTGGACTTTCTTTGTTGTGTATTCTTAATCGAGCAGTCTGTCTGATATTTTGATCAGATTACCTCATTATGCTGGCCTGTGTGGAAGCTACAAATGAATTGATTCTTTCAAATTCATAAGCAAATTGATGCTTTTGAAGCCACAAATAGATTGATTCTTACCGCTATTGACCCCAGTGATGTGTCGAAAGCAAGTTAATTTTTAATATCTTCCAACCAAAATGTTTTATTTTCTATTTGTCATTCTCATTTTTGTTCCATGACATTGTGAAAGTGGAGGACAGTATTAATTTTTAAAGTGAACTGACGGATTGTTTATCAGATTTGTAACAGTGACACGAACAGAAAATACCTGTATGCCATCTTCTAGCGATAAACTTCGTCTGGAGAAGGTACTTACATTAAATAAATTGCTTCCTTGTGAGTTGTTGCTTATGGTTATATTTTATTCTGTGTAAATCCCACTAATATCCCCTGAGTTTTGGCCATTAGACAGGGGGCCACAAATATCTTTCAAACATGTATATCTCCACTGACTGAGTATGGCTGTCTATTGGCATTCATTCTGGACTCATATAATGCTAATTATTCGGATAAAAAAATGAACAAAATTTAAGGACAAAATTTTTAAAATATTTTATATACTCTTTTCTCTCCTCCCCATAGTTATTAAAGGCCCAAGGCGCACCAAGGCGCTACAGGTCCTTTGGAGCCTAGGCACGAGGCGCTGAGTGAAGTGAGGCGCACAATTGAAAATTTAAACTACCATAATAACATTCATATCTCATAAGTCATATCAATATTCTAAAAATTAATATCAAATATAAAAAAGTAAATCCATCAACTATACAAGCATCCAACAACCATAAAACATAGTACAAATTTGTTTTCTTGAAAGGCGAAGCAAAATGTGTTTTTTGAATGGCAAAACAAAGCACAAAAAGAAATAAATATGTTAACAAAAAAAAAAAAAAAAAAATTGTTAACAAGAAAAAAAAAAAAAAAAAAAAGACAGAAAGATGAGATAACTAGACTTAGAGAGAGATGTAAATAAAGATAAGAAGAGAGGAGAGATCTAGAGGAGAAGAGAGAAAAAAGAAAAGAAAGAACTGATGTGGTTTCGTTGTTCATATCTGCAACTAGGGCTTTGTCTTTGTCTCACAATCTCATTCTATCATTGTTTGGTTAACACTTTGACTCTTGGGCTTTCTTATTTTTTTATTCTTTTGAACAAAAGTTCCTTATATTGCATGATTGAGCTTTCTTTTTTGTTTATTAAGTTGCCAAAAGTACCCTTTTTGGCTTAAGAAATAGAACAACAGTATTTTTTTAAACAAATATCAGTGAGGCGCGCCTAGGCGCACCTCACAAACAGGAGGAGGCGCAACCGAGGTGCGCGCCTAGTAAACATCAGCGAGCCTGGGATGACAATAGGCGCTAAACCCGAGCCTCAAGCTTAGGCGCACCTTTAACAACACTGCTCCTCCCCAAATCCAACCCAACCGAAGCCCTATCACCTCTACTATCGTGCACCTGTATGACCACCATTACCAGACACAACCACCTTGTTCATCGTCCTCCCAGTCTTCTGTTCTCTTATTTAATGTACCCACACAGCAATCTATAAAGTCACAACCACCATCCCTTTTTGCCAAACCACCATAATCACTACTGCCCACCACTGAACCACTACTATCATTTCGTTGCCCAAAATTCACTCAATTCAGTTAAGCCTTCCCCTAACGATTTGGTGGATCAGCTACATGGATCTATTTTGCCGTTCAGTTTCACGTTTATCTAAAACAATAATTTTAGTTAAACCATACACTATCTTATGTTTCTTAAATTTAACCAGTTTGCTAAATTTTTCAAAATTTCCCGTAATTAATTTTCTTCTTCTCACTCTCTCTCCCCACTCTTCTTCATTAGGTTGGGCTCCTGAGATCTAAGAAATTGGTGATGGAACAAATAGTGCTATGGAATATATAGAAATAAAGACAATGAAAAATGTCTTTGTTGTGGAAGAGGGTTTTTGGGGTGATGGTTGATTGTGGGGTACTGGAGAAGAACGGTGATGGTGCATTTAGGTTAGAAAGAATGAGAGAAAATGGGTTCAGTACCTAGAGAGAGAATCGTGATTTGAGGGCATTTTTGTCGTCTCACGCGTGTATTTCAGGGGTAAAAATGACACTACAATAACTTTTTATTCTAACAAAGGGCAAAACAAGTTTCATGCAGTCAGCAAGGTCAATACTTGATGGAAATTTCCGTTTGCCTTGGCTAATGGCATGGGGGACCCTACCTATTTTTGAAAGATATGGTAGCCAACTATACCAATGGCAAATTCTCAGGGAGCTAAGTGGAATTCCTCCTTTTTAACCCCTGCCAACACACCCACCTTGTCCCTTCGGGTACTTCAATCCTTAACCTTCTACTTTGGAAGCTGATGAAGTACCACTAGGCTAAACTCTTGGTGAATTTACTCTTGTTTATCTTGTTATTTGTTTATTCTGCTCTGAAAGCTCCGGAATTACTTGCATTTCTTTTGTAATTTCATTTCAAATTGGTCTATGAATTTTCAGCTGATAGGAGCTGGCAATGAGGATGCTGATTTTACTTTGAATGATATAAAAACAACCAAGGGTGAAAAAAACAACAGTAAGAAGGCTGCAAAGGGTAGTGGCTCGACTCCACGAGAACTGGTACGATCTGCCAAAAGCAAATCACTCAAGAACTCCTCCAATCATCGTGGCATTAGTGAAGCAAGCAAAAAGAGGAGTGAGAAAATGGGCTCATATGCTGCTCAGCCTGTATCCTTCATCTCAAGCGGTGTAATGCAACCTGATGCTGTTGAGATCAAAACCGTTGATTCAAAAGAAACAAATGATGGTTGCCTTGAAAACAAAGTTTTAGCCACTTCATCAAGTTATGGTGCGTTTGAGTTGCACACTACGGGTTTTGGATCAAAGATGATGGCGAAGATGGGTTACATAGAGGGGGGAGGGCTGGGAAAGGATGCTCAAGGTATAGCAGAGCCTATTGAAGTGACAAAACGACCTAAATCGCTTGGGTTGGGTGCAGAACCCTCTGCAGAGCCTATTGAACTGATCAAACGACCTAAATCACTTGGGTTGGGTGCAGCAAAAGCCTCTGAAAACAGAGGTAACCTGGCAAAGAATGAATCTAAAAAATTTGCATCATTTGAGAACCATACCAAGGGATTTGGATCAAAGATGATGACAAAGATGGGTTTTGTGCAAGGTATGGGCCTGGGTAAAGATTCACAAGGCATAGCCAATCCATTGGTTGCAGTCAGGTTCCCTAAATCCCGAGGATTGGGTTCCCGAGATTATTAGCCATTTATGTTATTTATTTGTAGAAGAAAACTATTCTGAGTCATTTTTATATAATTTACCTTTAGTTTAACTGCTTTTGTGATATTTATAATATTAATTCCAATGTTGCGCTTGAGATTTAGTTTCGGTTTCTGTTGGCTTTTTGATCTGTTTGCCTTTGCTTAAAATTTAAGGCCATGAAACTTTAACTCATTTTTGTAGGGGTTTTTAGATGGTCTATGTTGCTTTGGACCTGATAATTGATTTCTGTCCGTTTGGGAAGATTGGGAGATTGAGATTCAATTTTGCATAACATTGTCTCTTTGTTGCTTTTCCAGCCTGTTAAATCGGGAGGAAAAACAATAGCAAGGAAGAAAGGGAAAAGTGAGGCGGTGGTGGGGTGCCTTCCTGTGTTTGGTAGAGGAGAGGAGAGGAGGAAAGGGATGGAACCTCATTTTCATCGTCTCTCTCCTGCCAAGAGAAGATCCTCTAATCCTTCTCTCCTTTTTCGGCTTTTACATTTTTACCCTTTTCATTTTTTTCCCCCTCTTCTATAATAAATTTCATTTTTTTTCTTATTTCATTCCTACATATATAAACAATATTAGGTTAATGCTACTTACCCAAAAAATATATATTAGTTAATGCTCATTTCCAATTTTTTCTTTTTAGTAATGCTGTTAAGTGTTAAGAGAGCTATTTATGACAGGAGTCATTGTGATTGTTATTTATTTCTAATTTTTTTAGATTTGTAAAAAGTCAAAAGAATCATTTTAATATATACTTCAATTCAGGAGCTCTTTTAATAGCATTATTCTATTTGTATTCAAATGCATAGAATTGGAGTTTAATTATAAAAACAAATATGAATTCACAAAATATAAATGTTATTTATAGGGATGGGAGTAACCCGGAAACCCAATTCCCGCCCAAAATTTTTACGGGATTAGGTATGGTACTTGGGATTAGGTATGGTACTTGAGACTGTGGAATGTGATTGAATTTAAATTTTAGAGTGCAAGCGCAAATTTATTTTTAGACTGAATTTAGTCAAAGATTTTAGTAATCAAGGAGCCCAAAGAATCCAATATAAAAGAATAATTTATAACTTTTATATTTAAAATTAGATTAATTATAGAATCATCAATCATGAATTCGATCATATTATTAATATAATAGGATAAAGTGCATATAACTTCCCTCAACTTTCATCAAAAAACGCAAAACCCCTCTAAACTAAAAAATGCCCCATGATCTATTAAAAATGTATAATTTAAGGACCAAATAAATAGTCTCCGGCATAAGAAATCACCGAAAATGTTTGATTACAAAATTATCCTTTTATAAAAGGGCGTCATTTTAGTGCTTGATTGGCTTCTATTACTGATGTGTCAAACAAATTGTGAACAGCCAATAATATTTGGACAACTCATTATCACTTTACCAAAACTTCAACGCCAAATAGAGTCTGGGCCGAACCCAGTGAAAGTTAAGCTTTGAAACCCTAACTCATCCATTGCAACACCAACATAGCTACTGTACGAACCTCTCCCCTCCTTCCTCTCTATCTCTCTCTTCTGTCTAACCTTCTATTCCCCTCTATTTCCTTTTCATGGCCGGCGATGGAGGCACTGCTCCGGCAGTGGTCATCGGCTACGTTGTGCATCACAGCTTGGAAAGGTCGACTTCATGGCGACCCATGTCCAAAACTACTGCTCGGCGACCTTGTGTCGCTGTGGTACAGGTTTCCAAGTCACCAGACGACGAAATTAGCTATCGTGAAGAGTAGCGACCTTGGGTCGCGATTTGAAGAGGGTTGCATTGCTGGTTAGCAACCCAATAATTTTAGAGAGGGACGGCGACCATGGGTTGTCGTCTATGGTGGTTTCCGGGTCGCGCTCCGGCGACCTGGTTATACGAGAAGATGGCAGCGCTACGGCGTCCTATTCTCTACCTATCTATCTATATATATATATATATATCACGATATTTACTGGAAAACGGATTTGATTGTTGTCCTAGGGTAGCATGGTATCGTTCCTCACTCGATTCCAGAATGTTTAGAGGAAAGAATGACTCTTCTTTGATATAATCGGAGTTGGAGCGATCGGAATGGAGTCGCCGGAGACGGAGAGGATGATCAGAATTGCCCGGCGGCCAGCTTACCACCACCATCAACGTGGAGAATTTTCCTCCTACCGAGACCTCTGCATCAACAACTTTGGTGTAGCACCGCTCCTCTTTCGCCGGAGACTTTAGTGGTTTGGCAGCTGCTATTACACCAATTTTTGGCTGGAGACTTCACTTTGGCCGCTGCGATTGCACCATTAATGCTTAGATCTTCTCGCACGGTCATAGAGTTTGAGATTGTGCTATCACTGGTTTCACTGCTAGTTGATGCTTAAAACCTCTCGCTGGCGCCGGTGGTCACGGGGTTTCAGGTTGGTCGTATTGCTGTTGGTTATGGAATTTTAGGTTGGGCTTTTACCGATTTTAATGGAAAAAACCTTGTCAATCGATTTTAATGGAATTTCAGGTTGGGCTATCTTTTTTGGTTGTCAATAGTAGATTAAAATCTAATGAGTGTGGACAACTATGACCAATTATCTTGCTTGGTTTTAGAGGAAAGAAAAAAGAAAAAGAAAAAAAGTAAAGCTAAACCTCTGTTTTTTGGGGGGACTGATGGTATCATTTTACATGACGAACAAGTTCTATCAAATCAAAGGCGACATTCTGGGTTTTGGATGCTGTTCGTTCTCTATCTCGGAAGATTGTAACTTATATATATATATATATATACACACACACACTACGTTATATATATATGTATATATATGAATATAAGGGTAGGGTTGGCATTTTTAATTTACAGCATATGCACGTGACTATTTTATGGCCAAAGTTTACTGAACAGTGTCACTTGACTTTTTTTGCAAAAAGTGTGATAGTTTAGGGAGTTTTCTGTTAAAAAAATAGTTCAGGGGGTTTCTTGATAGAGAGAGTAAAGTTCAGGGGGGTTTTTTGCACATTACCCAAGATTATATTGTTAATTTTTGTCATACCTCTTGGATGGTTTAAGCAAGTGATCATAACAATTTATTTGCAGATGAGTGTTAATTAATTTAACTTCTAACACTTCTTGTCTTTTGTAATAAAATATAAATATATATATATATATATATATAATTTTTTTCTTTTAATGTTTATTTATTAGTAGATTATTAAACTTTGGAATAATTTGAAAAACTTGAAAAATCCGAAACCTATATGGTATGACGCGGGACGAGACGTAATGAGTTTCCTGAGGCTTGGACTTGATGTTAGGTAAGAGGTTAGAACCATTTTGGTGTGGGTTAAGCCATTGACCCGCCCAAATCTCACCCGTATTTCTTTACGCCAATTAACTCAACCTTTTTTTGATTCTTGTGATCTTTACAAAATCAACTACTTACTTTTAAGATTATGATTGGTTCTTTGAATAGGAGGTGGTCAATGTGCACTCATTTACCAACGCTCTTGTGGCGGAGTGTCCTCAAATTTTTTTCAAGTAGATGATAAGAGTTCGATCTCTAAAAAAATAAATTGAATGTGTAAATGATGTTTGAATTTCTTGCCAATAATTCAAAAGGAAAAAAAAAAGAAAAACATAAAATAAAATGTGCACTCATTCTATTTTCATGGTCCAACAATCCAATTAATCCTTTCTCTCTCTTTCTCCAAAACATGCGTTTGGCATGTCAGAGGGGTTTCTGTAGAAACACATTACTCAACATTAACTTCATTTATAAGGCTACTTAAATGTTCTTCTTTATTGCTTCTTTCTGGTAAGCTCTCTTTATTGGGCTCGTATTATGTACTTTTCAATCTTCAAACCTTCAAAACCAGTTTTTTTTTTTTTAATATACTGATAGAGATTTGATTCGACCATGCACTCCCTAAACTCCCAATTGTTGGCAATTTATGGTATGTGGGGTACACCAAACCTCCGAAATTGACGGTTTGATCTCATTTTGCGGGACCAACCCATTAAAGTTATCACGTCCAGCTAATTTTCTTATATTATTTAAATGGTAGATCTAAGCTACATCAGTGGTTGAAGTTTATTGCTAGCTGTAAAATACATCATTTTTTAATTTAGTTAATGTAAAGAAGAAGCAAATATAATATATTGCATTTTCTTTTTCTCGGTTTTTGGAGATATTCAATTGCTCCTAAAATAGGGTTGAATTTAATAGCGAAAATTTGTGTACTTTATTTGTTAAATTTGGTCAAACTAGAGTAAAAAAGAAAGAAAGAAATAAATATATATATATTTGGAAGAGTAAATTTCCATAGTAAACTTAGGCACAAGGAGAATAATTATAAAACATTGAGCGATAAGTATTTTTCTTCCTCAGGAAAACAAATTGAGAAAAAGTAGAGCAAATGTTAATAGGAATGTTTTGGAGGTATTTATGAAATTTTAAATCATTTTTAAGAAAGTTAGAAAGTAAAATTGTTTATATATCAATAGGAATAAAATTTTCCAATGTTGTAGCTTTTGTGTTGAGAATTTTCAAAAATAAAAATTCAAAGTATAAATATATTTTTAAAATAGAAAACATCCATGCCCTAAAAACCAACAAATTCACAAGATGGAAAGCCATGGGCAAATATATTATTACTTAGAGAAAAATTTTATTATTCTCTTTTTTCTTCTTCTTAAAAAAAAAAAAAAAATGGCATTAATAATGTAAAGAGGGGCATGATTGTCATTAAAAAAGGCCTAATACTTTGCCATTGGATCACCGACGGGAAGACGATATAAATCTTGAACTGTGCCCTTTTCCAGTTTTCAATTTCTCTCTCTCCCTCTCTCTCTCTCTCTCTCTCTAACTTCTTCGCAGAGCTTTACGATATCTGTTGGCGTGCAAATCTCACCTACACAGAGGGCTTTCGTCTCAGTGCTCTATGCATCAGTCTCTGCTAAAGGTCAGTTAGATCTCACGTTAATCTTAATGTGAACCTTTATAATTTCTCTTTAATTTTCGCCCTATCTTGTTTATATATCGATTAGCTTATAAAATTGGGTCTGATTTGAACGTCAAAACGTAGAAAAATTGTAGGGTTTCGTATCCAGATCTTTATTGAAAAAAATAGATAAAGATTCAAATTGGAACTGTGCTAATCTCTGTTTTTCTCATTCGTATTCTGATCTGGGTGTTTCAGATCTGACACAAAACCATTGAAAAACTGGTCGAAATGGACTTCTTTGACAAATTCAAGATCTGGGTTTTGTTTATATGCTTGATATCTCAATTGGGTCATGGTTTTTACCTTCCGGGTAGTTACCCTCACAAATATGCTGTTGGCGATCCTTTGTTCGTGAAAGTGAATTCACTGACTTCCATTGACACTGAAATGCCCTTCAGCTATTACAGTTTACCCTTCTGTCCGCCCCCGGAAGGTGTTAAGGACAGTGCCGAAAACCTGGGCGAGCTCCTTATGGGCGATAGGATTGAGAATTCTCCGTATCGGTTTAAGATGTACACGAATGAGACGGAGATCTATCTTTGTAAAACAAAGAAATTGTCTGGTGATGAATTTAAGATCTTGAAGGAAAGAATTGATGAGATGTATCAGGTGAATTTGATTCTTGATAATTTACCTGCCATTCGATATACCAGGAAGGAGGGTTATTTCTTGCGCTGGACGGGTTACCCAGTTGGCATTAAGGTTCAGGATGTGTATTATGTGTTTAATCATTTGAAGTTTACAGTTCTAGTTCACAAGTATGAAGAGACCAATGTGGCTCGTGTCATGGGGACCGGGGATGCAGCTGAAGTGATCCCAACAGTTGGGAAATCAGGATCGGATGTGCCAGGTTACATGGTTGTGGGCTTTGAGGTGATTCCTTGCAGTTTCCAGCACAATGCAGAATCCGTGAAGAACTTGAAAATGTTTGATAAATACCCGTCTCCTATAAAGTGTGATCCCACTACCGTCGCTATGCCTGTTAAGGAAGGTGAGCCTGTGGCCTTCACCTATGAGGTCTCATTTGTGGAGAGTGATATTAAATGGCCGTCTAGATGGGATGCTTATTTGAAGATGGAGGGAGCAAAAGTCCACTGGTTTTCAATTCTCAATTCTCTTATGGTGATTACTTTCTTGGCTGGAATTGTCCTTGTGATCCTTTTAAGGACGGTCAGGCGGGACTTGACTCGTTATGAGGAGCTTGACAAGGAGGCTCAAGCTCAGATGAACGAGGAGTTATCAGGGTGGAAACTTGTTGTGGGTGATGTTTTCCGCGCTCCAACCAATCCTTCACTTTTGTGTGTAATGATTGGGGATGGAATTCAAATTCTTGGGATGGCAGTTGTGACCATACTATTTGCGGCCCTTGGGTTTATGTCACCGGCTTCTCGTGGGACGCTGATTACAGGTATGCTATTTTTCTACTTAATTCTTGGAATTGCTGCTGGTTATTTCGCTGTTCGTCTTTGGAGGACAATTGGATGTGGCGATTACAAAGGATGGGTTTCAGTGTCTTGGCGGGTTGCTTGTTTCTTCCCTGGTATTGCCTTTTTGATTCTAACCACTTTGAATTTCCTATTATGGGGTAGTCACAGCACAGGAGCCATTCCATTTTCTCTGTTTGTAATTCTCATTTTGCTCTGGTTCTGCATCTCGGTTCCCCTTACCCTAATTGGTGGATACTTTGGGGCAAAGGCACCTCATATTGAATACCCTGTTCGAACCAATCAAATCCCTCGTGAAATCCCACCTCAAAAGTACCCATCATGGCTTTTGGTTCTTGGGGCTGGCACTCTTCCATTTGGTACACTCTTCATTGAACTCTTCTTCATCATGTCTAGCATTTGGATGGGCCGTGTTTACTATGTATTTGGATTTCTCTTCATTGTTATAATCCTTCTTGTGGTGGTTTGTGCTGAAGTATCTCTAGTTCTAACCTACATGCATCTTTGTGTGGAGGACTGGAAATGGTGGTGGAAGTCCTTCTTTGCTTCTGGTTCTGTTGCCATTTACATCTTCCTATACTCCATAAACTATCTTGTCTTTGACCTAAAGAGTTTGAGTGGACCTGTATCTGCCACACTTTACTTGGGGTATTCACTCTTCATGGTTATAGCAATTATGCTCGCAACTGGCACAGTTGGGTTCCTTTCCTCATTCTGGTTCGTGCACTACCTGTTCTCTTCGGTGAAGCTGGATTGATGGAAATTTTCAACTCAAATGATTTGCTTCAGGAAGAGCAGGAATAGCAGCAGTGACTGGCATGGGGGAAATGAACGCAGTGCTTAAGTTTGTTCTCTCACATATGTTACTTGTCTTGAATTTTCTTTTATAGGGAAGTTGGTAAAGGCAATGACAATAAACCTTATCCATTTTGCTTTATTCTTTTTGTTTTTAGAGGGAGATCATTGCACAATAGCAAAGTTTAGTTGCGATATGGTGGAGGCATATTTTACTTGAGTAGTTGTTATGTGGATTTTCTTATTTGCTTATCTGGATTTGTATGGATAGTCAATCGAATTGTCTTTCTGTTGTGGTATTGTTTCTTAAAATTCTCTATGCTGCATGTTTCAAAAATAATTCCCCACCAAAAATAAAATAAATTGAATTGCTTACTATGCTTTTGGAATTTACAGTAATGTCACCCGCTAGCAAAATTGAAATTGTTCTTTGCAGATGTGTATTATCCTATGACAATATTTGCTATATTTTTCTAACCTTGTACACTATTATAAATTTGAAGCTTTGATGATGATTTTGCGGAAAGCATATAAACTGAAGATGCCATGTGTATGTGAATGCCTACTTGCTTTTAACATGTTAATTTCTAGAATTTCATTGGTTGGTATTTCAAGATTTTGTATTGTGAGAGATGGTTTATTACACATTCATGGTCTGATGGGCATAAATATTTGTGTTTTTATTTTTAATATTGTTACTTGCGTAGTATTAGTTTTAATATGATAACCAAGACGGAAGACCCTAGTAAGCATCCATTAACTGGAACAAAAAAATTTTAGCATCGCAAGCCTTCTAGTTCCATTTTTGAGAGATCGAAAATTGATCCAACTAGACCAAGTAGCTTTCCATGACTTGCCAGGAAGTTTTAGATTTCTGAGTCCTAATATAGTGAGCATTTGGTGTTTGTATGGCTAGTTTCTTTTATAAAATAAAAAGAAAAATATAACATAATGACAATTTAGATAAGTACAAATATTTTTAGTTAACTTTTATGCTCTTCAATAAAATTTTCTCTAATGCATGCTAGAAAATAAATTTTCTTTTCATTTACTTCACTTTTCATTTTCTATTTCTTTTCTTCCTAGTTCTATCTAACCAAACGGAGCTTAAATTCAAAATGCATTTTGTTTTCCCTATTCTCTCCTTAAAGGTTCTGTATGGGTTAAAACTCAGAAGACCCCAAGTATAATTCCGCCTTGTCTTGAGATGCTTTTCAGATGGTGGTTTCGACTGGTAAAATCACAAACAAAGCTAAAATCACAAACAATTTTCAGATATCTAAAAAAAAAAAAAAAAATATTGTATCCTAATGATATGTTCTTTTTTAAACTCTTTTCAGAATATGATTTTAAAAATAATAAATCAAATAAATTTTGAACTCTTCTTTAGAGCCTTCAGTTTTGGTGCAGAAAGGTTTTATGGGTTGACCCCCAGTCAAGATTTTAACAAATAATTCAAGTTAATTTTATGTTCCATCATTTGATTTTCTAGATATCTGATTTTCTAGATATCTGTCAGCTTTTGGTTGGTACCATTATTGAATTCTTTTTAGTTCTGGTTTCTTTAAGATGGGATTAGAGATACTTTTCCAAGCATGCAAGACGAAGAGAAAGGGAAACATAATTTGAATGGCTTGTTTTCTCTATCATTGACATTAACCCTTCCCACTAGATTTAATGAGCCTGTTTAAATGACTGGTCAATTTTTGACCCATTTAATAGATAGTCATTTAGATTAATGGTCTTCAAAATTTCAATAAAAATTATTCTAAAAATTCATCTTTATAAAATTATATAATAAAAAGTTGTTTATTGATGCATTTTAAACCTCACGTACAAGGTTTAAAAAAAAAAAATTTGACGACTGCGGTAATCGAATCCATTACGGAATACTGACACAAATCATATTCTCCCTATTTTTCTCATGAATTATTATGTTAGATTTGTCTTTAAAATTTAATTTGGGTCTAAATTTGGACTCTTGGACAAAATTTAATATCAACAAATTATGAAATACAAGAAAAATCAAACCGGAATAACTATTAGATTATGATGGGAAGAATTTTTTTGGTTTGATCCAATTGATCAGATAACCTCAAATAACTAAAGTAGTTTACAACTTCAAAGTCAATGCCTTCCATAATAGATCAAAAATCAAACCGGAATAACTATTAGATTATGATGGGAAGAATTTTTTTGGTTTGATCCAATTGATCAGATAACCTCAAATAACTAAAGTAGTTTACAACTTCAAAGTCAATGCCTTCCATAATAGATCACTATAATGTCAAGTACCTGATTGTAATGGTGGGTCTCTTCACTGGGATTGATGTTCAGTTTGGTCTAGCTTTAAGCTAAAAAGGACCAATTGATTATGGGTCTTCGTTTGGGCTAGGCCATGGAATGCTTTTATGGGTTCAGAGTCTTTGTGCCCATTTCTCATATTATGGTGATTTTGTTTGGGGTTTGTCCTATGTCTTTACGTAGGGTTGTTATCTGTGGTTGTACTTTGTAAATATCGAATTGCTGTTTTTTATTGTCAGATGGAGAAAAAAAGAAAAAAATCACTAGACAAATCTTGTCAAAGGGTGTAAAAGTGTTCCTGGTGAACCATTTACAATAAATGTATCACCGTGCCACATACGTTGGAAACTTTGTTAATTAGCTCTTCTTTCATGTTTAAAGTGCAATTGATATACCAAAATATAAATATTTATCTGTTATTAAAGGTTAATTTATCCTTTATATATATATATAAAACAATGGATCAAGAGTCGAAGCTATTCGATCGATATCGTCCCCCTCCTCTCCCTCCAGATCGGCATCCCAGGTGACAGATTGACCTTTTCCATTAGACCTCAGCGACAACCACTTAACGGTGGTATCCCAGACTGTATTGGAAATTTGGAAACCTAGCTTTTATGTTGACAGTTTTTCAATTAAAAAATAATGACGTAAGGTTGGAATTTCGTTCTTCAATTAAAAAATAATCATTTTGATCTCTCTTATAATAAACCTTTCTGGCCACATTCCACCTTGTCTGAATAACATCTCACTTGAGGGATCAAAGTTCATAGGTTCCTTTGTTTTTCCCATAATTTAAAAGTTCACATCATTCTTAATTGCTTGATTAGAAAATCGATCCAACTAGACCAAGTAGCTTTACATGACTTGCCAGGAAGTTTTAGATTTCTGAGTTCTTATATAGTGAGAATTTGGTGTTTGCATGGCTAGTTTCTTTTATTTTCTTAGAGCTTCTCATCAGTCTAGGGTCTTTGTTGATTTCTTTCTCATAGCAGTCTGACCTTAGTTAACAAGCTGAGGTCACTTGTTCGAATTTGAGAATGGTTACTTTTGTGTAAAATAATGCCCAAGGTTAATATAAGAACATGAAAATATGGGAGTACATGATTTGTTTGTGTAATATGCTCATCAGACTAGACAGTTTTAATTGTGCTCAGGGTATGTAGCACAGACAAATTTCTTGTACAGAACAACTCCTGGTTCATTTGATTCTATAAGCTAGTTAGAAATAGAAATAAATATACCGTAAGACATTGGTTTGAATATGAATTCTGACAGTATTTTCCCTAGGTGTATCGTGGATGCACTTTTTTTGGGTGTCCTTTTTCGTTCTTGGCATTCCAGTTCTGCATAGAAGATCTAAGATCCATCTTTCGGTTGCCATATTCATCTCTACAGCTCCAACAAGTTCCTCGTCTTAACCATTGCGTTCCATTTTTGAAGTTTAAAATGGAAAAGTATGGGTTTTTTTTCTTTCCATTCTCAACTTCAGAAGCGTGTCTGAGCATCTGAGTTGAGTGCTTTTCTCTTCATGCTTTCAACAACAGCAACTCTTTGGAGGTACAAAGTTGAAAGAAGATTTAGGTCTCAAATGTGCATCTTCTTGGAGGAGAAACCTGAGTCAGGCCACAGTTTGAAAATAGGATCGATTTGGCACCTAGTATTGCATCATTTTTACTTCACTCATAAACAGGTTGTCATGTTCTCAAATCCAAAGTATCGATATGGTGCTCTCAAACACAGTAGATTCATGTATTTGGTTAGAAATCTAACCAACCACACTTCGTATAATGTATCCATGCCAAACACAAGCTAGCTCAATTGGCAAAATTCATCACTACCCCCATAATACATACCTGTTCGATGATCATTGTTATCTTAGGCCTGTTTGGTAGCTATTTTATTTTAGGTGTTTTTATTGTAGGGCTTCATTTCAGACCCAGAACATGTTTGGTAGCTATTGTTTTGTCTTAAACAGTACTAAAATATTGTTAAAATTTGGGCCCAAAAGTGAAATACCAAAATGGTGTTTTTTGTTGTTTCAATACTGTAGCCCAATAAAAGCACTGTAGCGGAGGAAGTAAGTTATGTCGAACACTATAGCGGAGGAAGTAAGTTTAAAAGCCATTTGCAACATTCGACCCGATATTTTCTCTCTCCTTTGAAACCCTAACGGTCTGGCGATTTGGGAGGCGATGAAAACGAACCTCGTGATATTGACTGTAAGTTCTTTGAAGCCCTAAAATACTTGTAATAGTGTGATTACAAGTGTTCTTCGATTGTAAAGGCGATTTGTTTTCTCTCTTGCAGTTGTGTGATGCGATTTCTCTCTCTGTATTTAGCGTCTGAAGGAAGAAGTAGTAGCAGCCGCCCTGTGGTACCTTTCTTAAATTATTCTCTATTTTGCACTTTCTTTTATAGCGATGAATTTTTTGTTTTATCTGATTTTATATTTTATATATAAATACACACAAAATTTAGGTCAAGTGAATTGAAATATTCATTACAAAATTGGAAGGTGAACGAAAGTAGATCTTGATTTGTCATGGAATTAATTTGCAGTTCACTAGAGAGTTCTTTGAGAAGCTTCCTTGCAAGCTTCCATTCTAGCAGGGTGCCTTATTTATTTATTTATTTTATGTTATGACTCCTTGATAGATGTTTTGTAGATAGAAGTTTGACTCCAAATAGATGGATTAGAAATGAAAAAGGTGATATTAATATCTAGATCATAAGAACACAGCAAAAAGATGAAACTCTAAATGTCATCAAGGCTCAAGTTGACGCTAAAACATTGGTCTCGGGATGAAAAAAAATAGGAATTTTGTAGTGCAATTAATGGGAACCAAGATTTTGCATAGATGAAAGCTTTCTTCATTCATTTATGTCTCTTCCTTTTTCTTTTTCTTTTTCTTTTTCTTTTTTTTGTAGCAAAAAAGATGTGTTTGTAATTTGGTGGGGGTTTACATTTCCTTACAGAAGAGAAGACAATAGTCTGTATTTTAGAG